GGGGAGCAGGGACCCAGTTTATAACTCACTGCTTCATTTTGGCTTCAAGTGCATCTCTCTTTTTCTTAGACTCTTCCATTCTTTCAACCCTGGCTTGGTGACGCCATCGGAACAAACTGGGTGTGTCAATGTTGGGGTGAGTGTCATCTTCGTCATCACTGACCTAGAATAAAGAAACATTATGACAGCCTTTGTAATCATCATAAATTATCACTATCAAATATCTAAAAAAAATCAAAATTTAATAAAATTCATTTTGAGATAGATGTCACAAAGAAATTTGAATAATAATTATATAAAAATTGATGCTTGAACAATATGGCTGTCTGAGTCTCATCACTTGTAAACTAAATCAAATGCTTATGTAATAGCCGACTTTAGATATTTTGGTTCAGTGACCATGCACAAAAGAATTGCAGACGAGGCTCCGGGGAAATAAAGAATAAATCAAGATTATCCATTGATAATTTTATTTTTTTTAATATTGCAAAGAGTTATTTTGAAGTGCAAGCTTCAAAATGACCAATCAAAGAGCGTATAATATCGTTTTATTCTTTATTTCCCCGGAGCCTCGTCTGCAATTCTTTTGTGCATGGTCACTGAACCAAAATATCTAAAGTCGGCTATTGTACTGTAATTCAATAAGATTGGGTCAGTCCACTTTTAAGTGCTATAAATAATCTTGACAACCTGTCTTGCTTGAAAAGATCCCATTGCTTAATTATTTGAACTTTTCATTTATTTCCATGATTGCCCCTAAGTTATTGATCAGCTGTAGTTAAGAAAAACATTGCAATTATAAATATTACAATTGGAACCTATAATTTCAAGGGCCAATTCTTTTCCAGACACTAACTATTGAATATGCTCAATAATGAAATCAGATTCAATTTAAAAGTTGCCACGGTCACTTTTAAATCACGGTTTTTATTTTTCTGATTAATTATCAGTAATTCAAAATCATTTCTTACTTTAGGAAACCTTAATGCTGAACAGCATTTCTGTTGTCAATGGAAGTTTTTTTTTTAAGATATCTGAATAGTATTACAAATGAATGGCAATGAGTGAATCCTTAGAGTGTTTTGCTTGTTATTGAACCTTTTTTTTTTATTTTGAATTGATTTGGATCAATATTTCAAACATACATGTATGAAACAATTATTTTTTTCAATATATTTGGTCAGCACAAACTGATTATTGGTTTGGTGTGACAATACCACAGACCAGGCCAAATAAGGCAAGACCACTACTTGTACCAAAAAGTGGGTTGTCACTCGATGCCACCAAACATTGTGAGCCCCTACATTCACTATTGAAGTGCATAAAATGTTCCATATACTAGTATCAAACATCACTTAATGTTTCATGTTTTGTTCTAAATCATTTTACCATCCAATAATTTTATTTATTACGGTAACCCAGAAATGTTGGATTCTTCCATAATGATGTGTTGGTTGTGATCAAACTATTTTTCTTCGTGATAAAACGCTTTATCGACTTAAATTATATAACATCATACTATTTTCTTGATGCAAATAACGTTCTTTATAGCAGCTACAGGTACATGGATTGGGAGCACTTCATAAAATACCATGTCACTAATAACTTATTGAATGTCACGCTATAGCTCCTCGATTGAATGTAAGCTTGTATAAAATCGTATTTGCAAAGTTAAATAAAAATTAAGCTAAAGAATAACAARCTATACAGAGAAAGCTTGACTTGTTCTTGCTTACATTTCCAAAAAGGCCACAAAAATTTACGAAACAAAAAGGGACGAGAGAGAAAAATGACAGATTGATAGATCGGGGACAATCCCTTGAGAAGTAAGAATTATGCAAAATTTATATTTAAAAAATCACTAAAAGGTATAAAAGAAATCTCTATGAAAACACAGATAGAACATATAATAAAGCTTTTACCTCAATGTGGTCCCAACGACTGTAATCCACCATTTTAGCGTGGAAAAACCTTCAAAATGCACTTCAACTSTTCGTCACTAAATGAGAACTTGTCTGCGAGCATGCGCATTGCAGATTCTATATTGGCCGAAGAAGACTGGGTACTGACATCTTTATTTGCTTTCCTCCTCTTTCATTTTTTTTTTGCTTTGGCAGTTTTTTTAGCTATCTTGATTATCATTTCTTTCCATCTGTGAAATAGGAATTGTACTATTTCAATATTAAAAATACTTTTAATACTATTACCTCTATACAACAAACTAATTAGGCAAACACAGTTTTGATTTTACCTTTTGGTACCCTTCTACACCCCGGCCCTAATAGTAATTACTATTAAACACTGAATAGTTGTAAATTTGTTTCACAGACGGATGAAAATGACTCTAAACTGACAAGTATGTTAATTGTTTATAAGAAAAAAATAATAATCAAAAATGAACAGGGATGCCAACCCCCGAACTTTTCAAATCTTGAGAACGAAAATGATGACGTCATACCGGAAATGATGTTTCATAACATTATTGACGACGTCATCGCATTTATCAAATTTCTAGGTGATTTGACTAGATGTATCTTAACCAATCATATTATAGATTGTATTGTGCAATTGAAAATGGCATGCAGTGTTATTGTTATCAGAAGACTGGGATTTTTGTATTTTTCAGAACTAAAATGATATGCAAGGTAATTTGAGCTTAATAGATGAAAAGAGATATTTCAAAAAACTGATATATGAATCGTCATTATCCGGGAGAATTAGCGGTAAAATCTTGAGACGGGGAGAAACGGTCGAAAATCTTGAGACTCCCGGATTATCCGGGAGAGTTGGCATCCCTGAATGAATGATTAGAATAACAAAAAGAAAAAAATAAATATTAAACAAAAGAAGTAAAGCATCAGAGATTTATTTTTGAACAAATACATTTAGGCATTATTGAATACCAGAACAAAGTAAATAAACATTTTTTTATATTGAAAATTGGAATTTATTTGCATAATTTATTTTATAAACTAGACGATCTATTCATAAATATGGTTGCATCTGGAATTTTGTAGAAATAAAATGCTGTTATATAATACACTTACATGTAATATTACAGCTGATGGTATATTAAAGAAAATAAAGAAAAAGCATGCAAAACATATATATTATCATTTAGAAGGAGTTCATTACAATAAATCTTTCATATTCCCAGATATTTGGTTTTCTGTACGACTTAAATTTATGTCAAAATAATATATTAATTAATAATTTTCATAATATAAACAAATAACAAAAATGGATTCATGTTAATCATAAATTTATAAATACAATATTAATTTAGCTCAGTCTAATAAATTTTATAAATAATAATTAAATCATAATCATATATGATGTATGATGTATAGCCGAATGCCTTTTGACAAGAATGTTGCCTGTATATGCAGTAAAGATATATAGGTCTTTTGTAACTTTAAGTAAAGAAATTGATAAAGAAATTGATCACAAGAAAAGAGAAGATCACTTCTCTCGCAAATGCCATGAAATAAAAATGTATTTATAAATATATTATTATTAATAGCTATTTAACAATTAGATCACAAGGTAGAGTGGACTACGTACAACTTCATAACCCATAAGGCTCACTTGTCCTAATTGACTATCAACTTGTACATGTAGTTCATTACACCAAATAATAGGAAAAACTTTAGAACAAATAGACAAAATGACATTTTTTCAATATCCCACTTTTGCTGCATTTGATGCACCATGGTCTATATATATAAAAGTAGCAACTATTGTGATTTTATTTTGTGGACAGATGTAGAGTGAAGCCAAAAAAATATAAAATGGATATACACTTCAAATACACCTTAGAATGTTCTAATTGCATCATTTCCTTTTGTGTGTCTATAATCTATTTGACTAACCACACTATAATAGACAAGATGGTATTAAATAAACAAGTTGATTGCTACCATCTAATACTGTATACCCTCATGATCACTTAAACACATATTATTTTCTCTTTATTTTGGGTTATCTATTCAGTCCTGATGATGAACTCATAGTTCAAAAACGTTAAACATTTAAAAAATAATTATGTGCCTTTTTCCATAACTATTTTTCCTTTTGATGATTGAAATGACAAGATAGTATTGTTTCATGGTTTTCAATGACGTCACTCCAATCTCTCTAACAAAGCATGGAAAAAGCATGATCTAGTCACCATGAGATTTTTCTTCATTGTTCTTAGGTATCAATAAGAAATTAGGCCATTGTAACGGCCACTCATACTCGTTAGGAACACGCCCTTCAACATGCTCCTCGAAAAATGAAAATAATGGAAACCACGCCTTGGTTCTTTTATCCTCATGTTTAAGGGTTCGACTGTTAGCCAGCGTATGGTAATATAGGAAAAGACGAGAAGAAATGTAAAATGCAATCAGGACGTCTATGGAGTAATGCTCATGTGCAGCCAAGATGAAAAAAATCCCAAATAGGTTGAGTACCCAGCATGCTGTGTGTAGGTAGTACCATCGTCTGGGGGTATCTGGAATGAGAACCAAGTTTATCATACAACTATTTTTACTACACTTTTGTAAATTCTCTAAACTCCTTGCAGCCTTTTTCTTGTGTCGTCTCTCCATGAGGATTAGAGACGACACCTGAAAACTGCTGCAAGGAGTCTAGAAAATTCTCATGTGGTGAAAAACTTTGCAGTGAGCCCAAAAACGCAGAGAGTTTTTAACATTTTATGGCATTTATAAGAGAGGATATACAACTCAAAACCATGCTCTCAATTTAACAAAAGGTCCTAGGTACAATTTTATATAGCTCCCTATCAGACTGGATATCACTGTTTTAATGCATTTCTCATACTAGAAACTCAGTTTTCCAATGGAAAATCAAAATCCAACCACAGCCTTTAATTTTCTGTTGGAAAACTAAGAAGGATCTGGAAGAATGGTTTAGAGCTTTTTTAAAAAAAATATTAAAATATTCTTTTTCTAAATATTCTTTGGTTCAAAAATCAAGATATTTTCTACTTACACTCTGTGATAAAGAAATTGAGCAGTGTTATGACAACAGTATGACCACTGAACATATAATCACCACACGTACGAACACCATTGACTGACATCCCCATCCCAAAGATGATCTCAAATGCCCTGGAAAGCTTGGTCCATGTATCACCATACATCTAAAAGTCAAATATAACTTACAATGTTATGAACCAAATGAAATAGACCTCAACTGCGAGAAGGTGAGAAAATAGGCAATTTCATGGATGGTGTAACATAAAGCAACATGTGGATGCATAACTACAGACCCTGTTCATTCACTTTTCAATAAATGGACTATTTTTAGACTAGTTCTCTGCAGTCTCATTCTAATTTGGAAAGGCCTTGTTAAATCAAGTTAAATCATCGTCAAATAAACTCTTGATACAGCACATACTTGCACCATTTATCGTATGTAAATGAACTTTAACTGCTGCTGGGGCCCCTTGTATTAGGCTGCATAGCTCATGTCCACCGGATAAATCCTAATTATCCAGCAGATAAAATCCATACAAAATCTAAGGGAGCGGATATCAACTTCAGGGTTTGTGCAAAATTTTCACTAAAAAATTCCAGGACTTTTGAAGTACTTTTTAAGCACAAAAATGTGAGTATTTTTGAAGATATTTTTTTATGTTTGTGAATGTTTCCAGTGGCAATTTTCAAAAATAGCCATATTTCAATCCAAATGGCAAAAGGCAATATGTTAATTTCATCAGATTGAAGGAGTTTTCCAGGAGTTTTAGTGATTTTTCCCATTTTCGAGGGCTTYTCAAGCGCCCTTGAAAACGAGTTTTCAATTCCAGGAGTTTTCAAGGATTTCAAGGAGTAGCATGGACCCTGCAACTTAAACCAGTGAATAACGTTATCCAGCCTTGGTACAACAGGTCCTTGATTGCTTGCATTTTGTGTTCTGCCACTGACATGGCTATCCTTGAATACATGAATGTATCAAGTATCATGTGCTCCTAGAAGTGAAACTGAATAGAATTCTACCTGCTTCGCTTGCAATAAATAATCTATAGAAGTTCTAAGATGATTGAAACCACATTGCGTTAATTTCCACATGCAAGTAAGAATGAATGAAGTTTATAAATTTTCTCTTTTCCGATAATAGGTGCCAATACCTTTATCATTTTGTAAATTTACCAAATAAGTTCATACCTTTCCTGAACACTCCAAATGTACTCCTGGGACACTCAATGATGTAACAAACATAGTCACACATCGCAAAAGAAAAACTGTGCCAGACAAGGCAAACATACGCCTCAACAGAATCATTCTATGCTTATGCAACACCAGTACAGCAATCCACATCGAAACCAGAACAATTCCAGTTAGTTCACACATCATGAATGCCCAAGGAATCAACGGAACACTATCTAGAACAATGTCTGGCAATGGGGGATATTTCTTCATGTCCGGTACTCTATCGTGAACTACTGTCATTACAAAAGAAGTCAAACAAAACACCAGAAAAGCGTACAAGAAGCTTAAGAACGTCCGCCATGTTTCTGAAACACTCGATATACGAGAAGCTAATTCATGTTGTATTTTTTCTTCTGCGAATTGTCTGGCAACAAATACACTTTCTCCGTAGTCTGTTTGGTCCAGCGAATACTTTCTGTGATAGCCATTGAGTTCGAGATTTAGCGGATTTTGACGTTTTTGAAGCTGGGAAATCTTCAGCCAAAGTCGTTTCACGTCACCAAGTACCTGCATTTGCAACGGCGGAGAACGAAGATCGTTCTCTGTTAAAAGAAGAAGAGCTTTGCCATCAATCTGGTGTACTTCTGTGAGAAGGTTCGCGTATAGGCCAAAGCCGTTTTTAGTCAGCCAATCGGCTGTATCTTCACAAGTCCATTGCAGTGTTTCTCTCATATTGTTATCCTCCATGTTGTTTAATTGGCAATGCGTCAATGGACTTTGATCATTACGTCAGATCCGGTCGACACCAGGCATACTGCGCGAAAAGCCGAAAACGGAAGTAAAACTTTCTTTCAGAAAATCTAACATTTTTAGCTTGCGTTACATTATCCTCGGGAACCCAGGGGTAATCTTCTGTCGCTCGTTCCGAGTGAGGAACGAACGACAGAAGATTACCCCTGGGTTCCCGAGTGAGGAACGAACGACAGAAGATTGAGGGTCACGACTCACGGCTAAAAATTTGACTTTTTCACGCCTCACGGCTATTTTTTTTCTTATTTTCACGACTCACGGCTAATTTTTCAGCCGTTTCACGGCTATTTTTTCTCATTTTTACGATTCACGGCTAATTTTTTAGCCGTTTCACGGCCCACGGTTAACCCCATTGAGACCCTCAAGATTACCCCTGGGTTCCAGAGGATGGCGTTACATCCGGGTTTTTGGCAAATAAAACCATCTAATCATGTACATACAAATGGTCCCAAAATAAAAGGAAATGTGCCGAGGGCAGAATCGGAGAATTGACAGTGGAAAAAGTTGGGGAAAATTGCCTATGGTGCCGAACAAATGCGAAGCTATTGTGTCCAGCATGGCATCGTTGGCTACGGTATTTGTACAAGAATATACTCCATCTTCATTTGACTACAGACGTCTTTATTAAACCTTATTAGTTTTTTTTTTTTTTTTTTTTTTTTTTTAAACCTGCGTAAAAACACTAAAGGGATTGGGGAGGGCCGGGCCGCTTAGCCCTCCCCAATCCCTTTTGGACCTCTACACAGGCTATTTAGAACCTCAGTGAAAACGTTATTTCCAGATAATTTTTAGCCAGTAGCACTATCCTAATTATTATTATATTTAGCTTTATTATTCCTTGAAATTGCTAAAACTTTGCCCTCGCCAATTTTTAGTTTTCCAATGGTCCTCCCCTAGCATTGGGGACTTGGTCCGTCTGAAAAACGTTACCTTTATTGCTGATTGGCTGGAAAACTACATAGTCACGGGACTTTTGTATTTCTCGGAACTGTTTGTCTTGCATTGTTTAGGGTGTTAACCCTTAAATGATTTGCATCGTTGTGAAAAATTGAATGTTTATAACAACTTTGCATGCTAGCACAAATATGTAGGGTTCATTCATATCTAGATATTTGCTATGAGCCAATCTGATGAACAAGAAAATCACTTTGAGCGGAAGCTCTCAGAGATTGCCTTCGCTCTCGATGAAGACGATTTGGATCAACTACTCTTCGGATGCAAAGATATCATTCCAGATGGAATTAGAGACGCCATTCAAAACGTTAAACAATTATTTGAAGAACTTAAAAAGAGAGGAAAGCTGAATGAGGCTAAACAAGAGTTTTTGATTGATTTATTACGAAGCATTGGTCATGAAGAACTGGCCTGTGATTTAGAGTCTAGTGTAGATTTTCCGCTAGACGAACGAACGTTGGAACAGGTATGTTAACGCTTCATACAGTATATTATTTAGCTGAAAAGTATTATATACTATGTCAATTTTATTGGAGGGGAGAATAACTTATTCAGCAATTATAAGCGCAAATTGTGCCTGATTGATTAACCATCGCATGCAGGCGCAATAGGACATAGTCATCTTGTAACAACATGTCGACTTCTACGTTACTCGAATTAAATTCGGACTTAAGCTGAATATACCTATGCTATACTGCCTACTCGCTCAAAACTGCTGTCCTCTAGTCATTTGTTAATCGTAAAACCCATATTTCAAAGATCTACAATCTTAAGAGGAAGGGAAAGGCAGCGTTCAAAGAAAAGAAATTTAGCAAAGCTTGTCAGATCTACGAGGAAGCCATAGAATTGATTTCGCCACGTAATCTAAACAGAGAGGCTGTCAAAGAAAGACGACATCTGAGGTTGAAGTTGATTCGATCTTTAATTTGCAAGATCTCACAAAACAAACAGGTAATGTAGTTAGATTTTTTGATTTGCTTATTTAAGCTCCTTTGAATGTGAATTCCTAAGGATGAAACATTCAATGATTTGTGTGGTACTATCATAGTTAGTAGCTACTAACTATGGTACTATTTATTTATCGATTATCTGTTAAAGACGATAGACTTATTGTGGAGTGTGTTTAATTGTTTAAATCAATATAACACACGATAATAATTTATCGCGAACGCTTGAGTAACTCATGCAAATTGCTGATATGTTTATACTAAACTCAACAAGCGTAAATCAAATTTTCAATTAATTTTTCAAACTTTCGAGAATCGATCAGTGCCAAAATTCCCAACATCTGAAAGACATACAATGTCAAGGAATTTCATTCAATCAGCGACTTCATTTCGCGGTTATACCTCCTTTGGAAGGAAATTTAACCCTATTCAGAATGTCGGGGGTCGCGGCGGTATCTTTTGAGCACCTCTAAGTGCCAAATACCTAACAATCAGTAGCGCTTCGAACCGTACATTTTTATCTATAAAATGTTCATTTAAATAATGAGTAATTTTAATTACTTAAAAGAGTGCTGTTTATCATTGAGAGAATTCCCGTATAACCCCCTCGACGTCAACATAACGATTTTCCTTTTCTAAAAGTTGAAAAAGTTTACACATCAGAGATTTTTGAAATGCTTTGAGGACAACTCTCTATTAATATCTAATATGGTATAATATGGTATAATAATATTTGGCTTATATTTTTTTAATTTTTCTTTCTTTACCCTTTTTTAGGAAAATGAAATTGATCATGATCAATATAAAAGGAAACTGCACGAGGCAAAGACAGCATGTCTTGAATGTAAGTAAATGAACAGCAACCTCGTTCACAGAGCCATCTCGGCTGACTTCTTTACAAGATAGCAGACTCCTCTACAAGGTAGTCTCCCCGACTCCCCGACAAGCGCCATCTTGAAAAGGAGTCGGCCAAGATTTTCCAAGGCAGCCTGTACAGGTTCTTATATAAGCGGTACTTATCCTAAAATCCGTCATTTTGGCGAAAGATCTATTGGTTTTAAAATAAGGGCTCCTGTGAACTAAACTATTGCAGAGRAGATGAGAAGGACAAGACCAGAATTTTCCCATCACTAGCTTGAGATTAGGATAATGTCACTGTGTTGTCAAAGGTGATCATCTTCCTGGGGTCTTCAAAGGCAATCCTCTCCTTGCGAAGTTGTACCACTCCACATGGATCTAACAGGCTCTCGTGAGTCTCTCGATCAGCTTTCATTCGATTCATCAATTGGTGCCATGTCGCWGGACATATGGCTGATAATGGCTTTTGGTACTTCGTTATTTCTCGAGGGTTTTTTTAGGGTCTTCTTTAACAATGGGTGATATTCGAAGCTGTTCCATATCAGCAGAGCGTGATCCCATCATCATTGCGAAGAGGCGCTGACGATCCGTTTGACGATACGGAGCCGTAGATGAATATATATAGTATAGAATCTATTCAAATCATTTTGCGGGTTCCAGCCGTTGGCCTTTGCCCTCGTGATGTTTATTTGGTTTGCTCGAAGATGACTTTCTCCAATGCTACTAGTGCATTCATGACCTCTTTTTGTTTTTTTGTTTTTGTTTTTTTGGCAGACGGAAGACTGTCAGCAATGAGAGGATCATAATTGACGCATGTTTCCTGCAGAGGAATTTCGTTACTGTTGTGCACTGTAGATGCCATGTCTCTCAATCACTTTCCGCACTAAATGTACTCCCCTGCCGACTTGTGCATTAAAGTCACCAATTTAGAGGTAGATGAGTTTGTTTGACTTGGTTACCACAACTGACCAGGTCCTCACAGAGCTTATCCTTGATACCTATATGACCTTTATGTAGTATTTTCTTTCGGATGGAATGGCGGACGATCATCAAGCGCTCRATGTTCTATTTGAGGGGAGCTGCTGATCAGCAGTTTGTTGACCCGGTCTGCCAAACCGCCAGTGCCTCACGTCGTTCTTCTTGGTTTCGTTCAAGTCCAAAGGAATRGATCGTAAAAATGATGTACTTCGCATGCTTCAGTCTCGAAACAAATGAATGTTAAACGGGCCTTCCTGAGAAGAACATGATAAGCACACCGTAGTACTATCTCCCTGTGATACCCATGTATCCTACAATTAACATGTGTAAACCCGGTCAAGACTGATCCGCTTATCCTTGTTTTTCTTTTTTCCCTCTTTTTACATTCCTTTGTATTTTACAGTGCTAAACTATGACCCGGAAGACTTCAAAGCAAAGTTCCTTCTCTCGAAATGCCTTGTTGGTTTGGAACAATACGATGATGCTTTCAAAGAATTAACAATTCTTCTCAAAATTCAACCCAAGGTAACATATTTTTTCCATAAAAACTAGGCGACTACTTCAGTTGCTAGGAATTTCTTCGTTTTTTAAATTATGGCAGCATTTATGTTCTTTCCTTACTTGGCTAGAATCCTGATGTTTTAATTCTATACGAGGAGATGAGTCAACAACTGCAGGTATGAAAAACCTTGTAAATCTTTAAAATATCATACAGCACCAAAGAAATGTATATGGCATTTTACTTAAGTATTTGCAAATATTACAATTGATTCTTTGTTTGTTAATATGATGTGGATGCACACGTTATAATTGCTGTCTAAATATTGAAAAGATAAGTTTATCAATTACTGGTTCTTCTTTACCTCTGTTTAGATCAAAGATGATACTCATGTTCGGGGTGTACCTTTTCCAGCATATGGGCAAGGAAAAACCATAGGTAATTAATGCGCGAATCTTGTGTTTGCAGCTGCAAACACAATGTACACTATTTAACGCTATTATTACCCACTTCAAGAATTCGAAGGGGGACTACATTGTATGTAAAAGCAAGAGAGCTTGAATGCTGTCCCTGCTGACCTACTGTTTTTGGACTCAAACTTATCTGACTTATTGATACGGTTCTTTGTAAGGGGCGTTTTTTCTTTGTTTTATTTTTTTCCCTTTGATTCCATTCTTCCTTTGAATCTTTTCTTGAAATATATTTAACATTAAATAAATGAAAATGTACTAACTATAACAGTTTTTTCAGAGTTTCCATATCAGTTAATCATGATTTCAAAAACTTTTCAGGCGAAACTTATCCAAGCAAGATTCTAGTTGTATGTGACAAATGGTCGGGATGGCACCACAGTCATTACACTGTTAATCGACATCTATGCAAAACCCTAGCAAAACARCCAGGGGTACAAGTCGCTTGTATTGTGCTGGATGCCAAAGAAACSGACGAAAGAAAAGCGACAAGGGATGGCATCTTACTTATTAAAGCTGCTAACAGGACAGGGATTCCAGTTGGTGACATGAGATTGCTTCTTATGCATGACAGTTTTCCTTTCGATGAACCAGACATTGTAATTGGTCATGCAATGGTAACTGGTGCGGAGGCTGCAGAAATCGCTCGTCGGTTTAAATGCAGATTCATGCAGATACTATATGATCCACCGGAAGAGTGCACTCACAATATGAATCCTGAATCAGTAAGCAAAATGGAAAAGATGGCCGAGCTGGGAAGAGATGCAGATTTTGTAGCTGCAATTGGTCCAATTTTAACACTTGAGTGGATCAATAAGCTWGGGCGGGATGATGTCATGGARYTGATACCTGGAATTCCYGAAGGTATACAGCGAAACTCAATCCCATCACCCTCCAATAGATGCCTAGTTGTAGATAGCATGACAAAGGAACGTGATTCAGGACTGCAACTATCTAAGAAAGCWYTGAGTGACTGCAAGAAAAGAGTAAGGCCAATCAAGGTCACAGTACAAGGAACTACCCGCGCMTTGAAAGATGAGCTAAAGCAACAGTTTAAAGGCGAAGCAGCCCGTTCAAAKTTTGATATTCATGTCACATCCTCTGAAGCTAGTCTTGAATCAGTWCGTGGTGAAATTAGTGCTGCTTCCGTGTTRATTATGCCTGAAMCTTCCGAAATGTTTGGCGTGCGTGCTCTTGAGGCAGTTGCTGCAGGAGTGCCAATGTTAATCAACACCAGCTTTGGCTTCGCTGATGTTTTGTTTAAACATTTCCATAAGAAATTTTGGGAGTTTTTGTGCTTTAGCGATGATGAAGATGCTTATGAAACGTGGTCGGAACGCATCGATGCCTTATTTGATGACAGAGATAAGTATTTTGCTCTAGCAGCAGAATTGAAAAACGAGTGGCAGAAAATGTTTTCCTGGGAGGCACTWGTAAATAAGCTGTTTTACAAGTTTTCAATGTCAGGKTATTTTACAAGCCCCCAATTCGCACCTGTTGACTWMAGMTCGTCAAGACCATCAAAATGTTCTGCCCAAGCACTGAAGTTTGTWAAGGAGGAACTGCGTCTTAGTGAGAAGCGTCGAAAGCACATACTAATTGTTTCYCCTACTAACTTCCAAGAAACGCCCCTTATACAATATTTCGCCAAGATTTCTTGGATATCTGTGTTTGACTTTGATATGAACAGTCCAAAAACAGGATTCCTATCAGGCTGTGAGAAGGCAGGAAATGAGATGGGWTTGAAAATCTGCAGAATGATTTGTCCAGAAGATTCCGAAGAAAGGAAGCGCAAAGTCAACATTCCAAAAGGAGTYCCATGGATTCTTCTTGAAGGAACACAGGATTCAAAGAGAGATATGAATGATTGTTTAGAGTGGCTTAAAAATGTGTTTGCTGCCATAGAAAGTAACTACCATGTACCTATCACAATTCTGGTGCTATGGAATCCATGTGAGCAAAGCAGAAGTCTTTCAAAAAGGCTTATCAAGCTTTTGTTTTTCGTTGAGTCATCGTCTCTGAAAGATAAAGTAAAGCTTGCAATTGTRTCAACCGAAAAGGARCAGTCATCTTTTTTCCAGGACATTGAAGAGGACTGGGATGTAGCTGTCCATGGACTTTCYCTCGTTGACTTGTGTGTTGCTGTWAACGAGGTTGTTGCTGAAAAYCCATTTTGTCATGAACAYATCAGYTTTGCTGTCCCTGTAGCYTCAGCAGATGGTGGAATTGAGATGCAGACATTGCCTTGTGAGTTAAGGTGGATAAATGCTGAATTGGAGGTTCTCTACCAATCAGTTGGTGACATTCCAGACCACGAAACAGACGACGCCAACCATTTTTACCGCGGTGGTACAATCTCATGGTATGCCTTGAACTCTGATTATGCCATTGAAAGAGAAACCTGCGAACCAATCAGGAARAAAATAGATGAGCTTCTACCTGCWGCAGGAACAAYWTGTCTACAGCTTCCACATAAACGAGGAACCGGAGGAACGACAACWGCYCGAAAAATYCTCTTTGATTACCAYGAGAGCTATCCCTGTGTCAATGTAAAATCYATCAACCTATCTGAAACTGCACCTGCCATCAAAGCTCTTGCAGATTTTTGCAAATTGCCAGTGATAGTMCTCGTTRACTGCAAGCACATCCAAGGAGAAGAATTTGATTTAAAGATGCTATTCAACAATCTATCTAATTCAAGAGCATCCTGTATCATCATAGAAGTTGTMCACCAACATGGAAAGCAAGGAAAGGSTTTGCCATTGAAAGCTGCTGAATGCCTSAGYGAAAACGAGGCAGAGGAATTTGTYAAGACGTACAGTAACTTAAATAAAGGGAAACTGTCTTTCTTGCAAAAAYTGAGGAAAAATGAGCGCAAGGAACTTCAGATTCCGTTCTACTATGCTTTGGTCACATTTGAAGATCAGTTTACTGCCCTCGATCCTTTCGTGGAAGATTGCATAAGGAATTCAGACGSTAACCAATGCAAAGTGCTCATYTTTCTTGCCATAGCTCACCATTACGGACATGCTACTATTCCAGAAGCCACRTTAACATCCTATTTGAATGTTCCTTTCGACACAAAYTTGGAAGATGTCCTCACTAAAGATTCACTGCAGTTGTTAATAGAAGAAGAGGAAGGAGAGTGGAGACCACGACATGATTTAATCGGATCCAAGATGTTGGAAAAGCTTCTGACGATGGAAATTTCCAATTCACAAGCCAGGAGAGTCCATCCAGATTATTGGAKKCAAAGAATTGCTGAGAAAGCTAAGGAATTTATTTGCCACATGCCAGAAAAGCTTGTTTCTCATGTGCTTACAGTAAGAGCCTTTTCGGATGARAGGYATCCTGAGTATTTTTCGCCTCTGATYAACGATGTYCCTGATGACGACGATGCAATMAGTGTTTTTGAAAAAGCCATYGATGTATTTCCAGACAACATCTTTTTCAAGGTTCATCTTGGCAGATTCTAYAGTATCAAGAAAAAAGCGGCAGGATATGAAATGGCTGTCAAGTACACGGATGAAGGTATAGATRGTGCGGAAAGTAATATGTCAAGACTGGTACGAGGTCARTTTGCCCAAATGAGAGGAGTAGTTTGTAGCAGGCATGTCAGTTATCTGATGGCCGACGGCGTGGAGCTGAATACAGTTMTAAACTATGCAAYTGAGGGATGTAAGTGGTTAAGAAGAGCTGTTMGTATTTGCCCAGACATGGTTGATGGGTACATCCCTGAAGTGAAAATGATGTGCCGTTTATTTGARCATATTCATACCACAACGGGAAGTTTGCACGGCTATCTTRAGGATTCAACATGYCAGCAGTTTATTCTKGATGGCATATCTAAAACATTAGATACTATCGAATGCGTGCCTGACAACGACAATTACATMTATTGGAAAGTCAGGATTCTCAATCTTGGTCTTCGCAAGGGAAGCCATCCTCGTTTGGAAGAAACGCTTGATGTTTTAGAAAAGCTTCGAAWYAGCCAAAGAGCAAGCAGAGGCCTCATCAATCGYCACATCGTCGCTACRAAAATTGAAATTTGTCGTTCARAAAAGAAKAGYCTAGCTTCARTTGCTCCTGAAGYTATGGAGCTRCTTAACGAAGCAYTGGCTTGTGAYAAAGATGGTCTTGATAGAACMATGTCCAYGTGGGTTCGAATCGCACCATTTGATCCAACAATCACAATCCAAGATGGAGATARTCGTATTTTCAAGTGGTGTGCCGAGACGAAGTCTCTTCGCTCATATCTATACAAGTACATTATGGTTTTTCTTAAAGCTCTGGATAAGGACGATCARAAATCTCAAAAGATTCTGAGAAATTCCTTTCAAGATCTTCTAAATACTGTTAAAGCCATAAGCAGAAAAGATGTTGGCATTGTYCAAGACCCAGAGAAAGCAGTTGTTTGGCTYGGGAAAAAGTCCAACAACATGGATCAACTGATTTATCTTAACCTCCCTGACAATGTGGTWCTACACAGACGAACGAAGAAAGTGCTACCCATCGAGCAGACAACACATCTCAGACGTCTCACTGGGATAATTGCTTGCACAGATCCCAAACTGGGTAAAATAGCAATTGGAAAGACAKTAAACTTTAAATTCAGGACTGATCTGTGTGACCCACCCTTAACCAGTGCTACCTTTGCAAACCGAAAGGTAGAATTTTTTCTCGCCTTTAACTATTTTGGTGTTGAAGCATATAACGTCAAAGTGATTGATGATGACTGATTGCATGGCTCAGATAGCACATCGTCAACTGTATAGCAAGAAAAAACTTAATATGATTACTACATCACAGAAAATCTGGACTCACGTAGTATCGTGCACTACGCATTTTATTAATGGGATTTTAAGTCTCTATGATTACATTATTGATCGAGAGATTGAAGATTGAACACTAGAGAAACCGTCTGTCTAAATGACTTTACCACCATTATGGTGCATTTTTAAATTTAAAATTCTTATAGAGAGAACTTAATTTGAAAGCTAAAATAGTGAGTAGATGATAGCAATTATTGAATAACAGAATTTACCAAAGTAGATTACGCACTTTCCAGAGACAGAAGGGGCAGAATAGTCTATTGTTAATCAGACAGCTTTTTGTCGAAAGTTTTCTGCAATTTTTCAATCAAATGAACAGGAATGATCTACGATTTTTGTTGGGTCTGACAAGACAGTTTTGGTAGATGGAACTAAACAAGGCATAGCTATTCACCTTTACCATAATGGCTGCAATTGTGTTTTTCCAAACCAAAATAGATATGAATAATTTGTCACTGTAACATCAAAGAACTATCAGAAATAAACGTTTTTGGAACGTTTTAGAACTCTGGACAAAATAGAAAAAAGTTATGGTGAAATGAAAATACAAAGAAATGTTTTTCCACCAATGGCTGTCTATTTGTTTCTGAATATGAAATATGTGAAAACTTTGTCACTGTCATGTGAATGCACTACCAGAAATAAACATTTTTTGAAAGTTTTACAGCCCTGGATAAAATGCGAATAAATTTATGGCAAATGAAAATACAAGAAATGTATGTAATTTTCAGCCAAGGCTTTTATAGCCTCGTTCTGGTGTTATGATATATTTTAAATCTTTATAACTTCACCAGAATTTAATATTTTCATTTCAAACTTTTATATGTTGTTATTAGCACAGGTTCCTATCAGCTGTTAGTTTACTTTGAATAAAAATTCTAAATTTTAAAAGTTTATGTTAATTAGATGGCGGCCATTATGGTAAAGGTGTATGCTATTCAGATATTACTAGTCACAAGCCTGGGTCAAATGTCTAACTGTCTGATCTAACTGTATGTTCAACTTGCGAAAGTCATTGTTTTGACCTCATTTATATTAAGAACGACACTTGTGCCCTACTATTCTTTTGTACTGTATTACAATACTTTCCAATTCTCCTGAATTATGTTTAGTACATTTCTTTAACCCTCATCAACCATTTGGAACCAATCTTTTTGCTTTGAACTGCTCTCCAAAAATTTCATCTAAAAGAAAATTCGAACAGAATTATTAAGTTCGGCATTTGACCGTGTCCTTAGATATTAAAAATTAGCTATTTAGAAGTGGTTTGGACTTTCCCGGGAGCTCGGGTTTTGGGATGGATGTATGATTTTGAAAATAAGGTCAGTGCATGAATCATACAGCTCAAATGCATGGAGTACAAAAAAAACCTTCACTTCTGTAATGGAGAAAAAAATCCTTCAGAGCATCGAGAAGTCAGTCAAATTTTCTTTCCACTATTTAAAAAAAAAATATTCTTGCCATAGAGCTAGTCATCCTCCCCTTCCCCACACTCGAAAGTCAATTGGGCAGCCCCTAGAAGTCTAGAGTTTTTCTCTATCAMTTTATATAGTAGCTAGGATGTGACAAAGCTTTTGTTATCAAACAGCAAACTCATGACTGAATGCTACTTTACATTTATCACAATATTGATCAAACGCAATCATTGAATGTTTTTCTATATTTTTTTTTTATTTTTTTTTTTATTTTTTTATTTATTTTTTTTGCTTTGGAAGATAGATAAAAATAGAATTCTTGTGTCTACGAATAGCCAAAAATCATTTGTATAGTATTGTTTGTTAGCAAATTTTTAGTAAAAGATTAGAAATAGACAGCTGTTTAGTTTTTGATCTTTGATCTTTACTGGAATGTACAAAATATCATTCAAATGGGTATTATGAAACACATGCAACATTGTAAAAATGTACAAGCGACAAACGTTGACGATCGAACATAATCCATCATTTTGGCTGGCCGGGCCCCAAACACTCAAAATATCCAGGTTTTTTTTAATGGCTGGTCGTTTGTGTTTTTGTATACGGATCATAAAAATAATAATTCTTGAGAGAGGTCAAGAAGTTGCAAACAAACGAGTTGCTGAAGGGATTTTTGGACTATTTTAATTTATTGAACATCAAATTATATTTAGCAGGTGATACTCTATCCAAAAACTCTTCGTATGACCAAAAGACGGCTTAAAAGTGAACGAATAATCCCGCCTAAAAATCAACGGTTATCTCTTCAATCAGTTAGCGCATAGGATCGATTTACAKTTACCTTTTAAGACCTTTTATGCTTCAGCTTGATGAGAAGCCACTTTATATTGCGTTCGATGAAGGCGTCTTACGTATATACTACATTGTATATAATTCGAACTCTTTCCATTCATTGTACAATGTTTGTCCTTAATCTTTAAGCTTATATATTCTTTAGGAATCAACAGGAAGGTTTTCTTTTTAAAAGACTAATTGGAGATCTACCACATTTGTGTTTGGAAACAATGAAGTAAAAATGRGACCGAAAAAGTTCAGTTAATTTCTTTTTATTAATTTTTTTCATTAATGTTTTGATTCAATGAAGACTATCGCAATAASACCAAAAACCGATCCATTTAATGAGAGTTMAAGGRCTTTAATTACTACCTCTACATGGAWAATGCTCTTTTAAGATCAATGTTTTACGCTTTGAATCTTGAAAGTTAGACTTTGGCAAACTAAATTAGAAAGACTAGAAGAGCGTTATTACCCTTCGCTACTTTAGACATGTAAACGTTTCCAAATAAAAAAAGTTAAGAAGTGCTGTTTGACTGAAAGCCGCGGCATCTTGAATGTTAAAAGAAAGAAAAACAATCTTTGTGCTTTGTGTTCCGACTTTGTTCGTAATAGCGTATTCCGTAGGGCTGCCAAGGGGCATGGAAGAGAAGAAGAGGCCAAAAAAAAGGGAAAGGAAACGGTTTTGGAAACAAAGCTATACGAATAAAACTCACGCGATTCTGCCACTAAGTTAGATTATAGTATTTGATAACTCAATTTTATGCTTCTAATGCTTTAGGTTATCAAACCATTGAAAAAACATCAAGAAAGATTTTGATATAGGAGTTGTATTTTGTGAACTGTATTTAGGAAGACTGAGACGGCTTTCCACTTCACTTGAAGTGAAAGTATAATAATTTTGTAATTTAGAAGAAAACATCTTTATGAAATTACAATTTAATCGGGATCAAGAAAGTATAATTTATAGTTTACATAGAGMAAGAAATACGATGAAAAATTATCGGATGACCCCCGTCGTGAAAGGAGGGGAAAAGAGATTCTGTAAATAGCGAAAGGGCATGAGAAATTGTATCACTCTTAATACAAAACCMGGTTTATTTTTAAATCTGAAATTTCCAAGAGATCTGAAGGCAAAAAGACTGTTACCAACTTGTATATTTTTATTTTTGTTCTTTAATGGTGTTCAAAAGTAAGCTTCAAGGGATCACATAAAAGTCGCACACTGTTTGAATAACACTATCCATTGCCAAGTTGTTTGACATTATGTACAAAATAATAGCTCATAGAGCTAGATTAATAACGGTTATGTTTTCAGAATCCTCTTAAAGGATGTTTGCCATTGTTTTTAAATGGTTGGAGGTCAATTTCCGTTTGTTTATGTTTAAGTAGATGGTTATGATTTCGCGTTAAAGATCACAATGAATGAGACGACAACCATCAAACAGATGTGGAAACCGTGAATTCGTCCGGAGGGAGGTCGATCTCGCTGGCTGGAATATTACAAAATTAAACGTAACTTGATAATGATTTTCACATCTGATTTGTTTTGTGACTTTGTATTAATGATAGTTGCTTTGTTTCTGATCTCAAGTAGTTTCTTGGAAGTCTATTCATGACTGGATTGATCTATAATTACTCCTGCACTATTCTCTCTTCTTCGACAAGGTTGCCCCACATACGTTAAACATCACGGCTTGTGTAGAATATATAATASGCTCATATATAGAGGATATTACACAGTTGTGTGGAGATACGGATTTTATCTTCTAGCGCTAAAAAAATCCCAACRCGGGAAGATAAAATCYGTTTCTCCAACCGACTATGTAATATTTCGTTAATCATATWGTTGGAAATCCATTACCTGTCCAAAATTTACCTCGTTTGACCTATGATTTCGTCTAATTCKTACTTAGTACTTTCAAAGTTTTCCTACAAAATGTATATATTTTTTTCACCCTTCAAGAGTCAAGTCATTAGAGATGAGTATTTCTTTTTTACTGTCTATAAACTGATCTCTTAATCTCCATCCCACTTCAACCCCCTGGAATGATGAACGAATGAGAATACACACAACACATAAATAGCACAAATGCATCCAACACTTGAGGTTAATTGATGAACCTGTAATCACTCTTTCTGCTCTAATAAGTGACTGAGATCTTGCGTTGTTTTCAATCGTCTTTTTGTCTTTTTATTCACAGAGACGCGAGGGCGAAGGCGTGTTGCCTTTTCTTCAGGAAATCCTTTTGTTTCGAAAGAAACATGTTTTGTTTTCATATTCAACGCTAATGTAGTTTTGTTTATCTTTAAATCAGTTAAATAAGGGCTTAACGCAAAGAGGTTAACAGAAAAGACACGAGAGCTTCGACCAGTACAGGACTCTTGCATTGGGGGAAGTAGATAAAAGGTATATCAGCTATGTTGTAGTTACTGATCATTACATAATGATAGGTACTTCTGAATTACATGAAACTTTGTTATATGAGAAAAGAACGGAAGAGAAAATAGAAAAGACGGAAGAAAAAAGAATGAGAGGTACCAAAGTCGACTGGCAAGAAAAAGTAACTGTGACACATGATTTTACTATGAGCTTCACATTCTCGGGCGGATTCAAYAAAACATGAAAACGTTTATAATATTTACAGTATACTCGTAGAARTCAATAGTGAAAGCCTTTAATAGTCTCAGCGTCGCACTAGTTTTATGAAGAGACATGACGACTTTGTTGTATAAACTTGGCCAGCACATCTTTTTTTTCGACTAAAGAGAGAATGGCATTTCAAKATTATATGGCGCGTTGGTCATTGCCATTTCAATTTTAACAAAAAAATATTTCTCGTTGTATGTCCTCTTACTTACTACACGTTGGAGTCGAATCGCCAAATTTGGCGAAGACATAAATCGTTGATATTAAGARGATATTCCAAATCTCATATTTTTTATTATACAAAATTCAAAATTAGATGACAATACCAGCAAAAAGAACAATCTTAAGACAATGGTATGTACCTATTTTTACCCCGGCTCTCGACCAATCAGATATCAAGAAAATCAAAAATTGTGGTAAAAAAAATCTTGCAGACCATGGATGGCATTTATAACGATGACTAGCACAAATTCCAGTTTTTGTAGCAAAATTCAACAGCCTAAGAGATAATTCAAAAAATTAATTTTAGTATCTTTTTGTAATACAATAGAGTACACGCCAAAAAGCGTGAAACAATTCATAACAATCAACAACTAATAAGATTTAGTTATTAACTAACTAAGAATTCACTGGGGCATGAAGACAATGCCAGAAAAGGAAATTGTCTCACTGAATTCTTAGTTATTAGTTGATAACTAAATCTTATTAGGCGCTAATTTGTTAAGAATTGTTTCACACTTATGTGGCGTGCACTCTAATAGTAGTCATAGTAGTGAACACTTTAGTAGAGTTTGACATTAATATGCCCTGAAGCTACGGAGAGCCACAATATTGAGGGAAGTCTAGGAAATTACTGCCCGCCATGCGCTTTAGATTTTATGATGATGACGGCATAATCGTGCTGACATTTTAAAACTAAAATGGACTCAATAAATGAATAATTAATAAATATAAAAAGATATATTAATGGAGGTGATGAACGTAATTTATTTCGTTTGCAAAGGGGGCAGTTATTGAATATTTTGACTTTTTGCCTCATTTCTCAACACCCCTCCCCCCTCCTGATAAATATTGCACAGTCCCTAAAAAAAGTGTAAAAAAAAGTGCCAATCAAAAAAATCAAGCACAAAAACAACTTAAACTCTCACACACACAAAAACTAGAGCAGCTACAACATTAATTATAAGCAACGACCACAGCAACAACAAGAAAAACGACAAAAACAACTAAAGTGACAGCAGCAATAACAATATAGTAATGACAACAACAGCAAAATTTAATGTAAAGTTTGTTTTCTTTTTTCATAGTGATTATACAGCACTACCCAAAAGTCGTCAGACTAAACGCTGCAAAACTAGACACAGCAAATAAAAAAAACAGAGAAATCCAGACATGTATACGTATATCATTTTGTTGTTTACTGCCCATATACTTCTATGTCARTGCCGTAGTCAAAACGTTCGAGTTGGCCGCTCCGAAAATCCACTCTTCACTCACAGAACAAGCGGCACTTCACCGTACGACGAGGAAACTTTCCAAGACTACTACGCCATTAACTCGGCTGACGCCCCAAGTTTTGATGACGCTCTTAAGAGATCTGTTGGTTCGTCTAATGTTTTAGCAAAGATATATGGAGGAGACCGCCGAGGCCTCAAGGACTCTTCGTTTTCTAGTTCTGAGGAATTTACTAAAGAGAAACCAAATAGGAAATAAACCAAATCAATCTCAATGAAATCAAATTAAATTCTAATAAAAAGTAATAGCTCAGATACTTAGTTTATTGGAATATTTCTTYAAATTGTTTAGCCCAAAAGATGGGGTTAAAATATAGAAAAGAGATTGAGAACTAATTATTTTACATCAAAACTATTGGCTTTCATACAAATCCAGCACTCTGATTGGCTATAGCTACTGAAGTATGGTCTATCCATGAAAGACCATGATCGCATAAATCAAAAAATCGAAATTAAGTGTAAAATTGGAAAAAAAAAAACATTTTTCTTTATGTTCTCTTTTCAAATTTGCCCTATATAGTTTGGTGGTCTTGTATGCAGTCGGTCTCAAAGACTGTCAACTCGTATTTAAAATCCAAAGCACCTCCCCTGGATCCCTAAAACAATTTTTTGATTTGCAGTTTTAAACTTTTTGATAAGAATAATAGCAAATAATCTATTTTTTTACATTTGATTTTTATAGCTCAATTTCCATAATTYGTAAAATTGTGCAATTTAATTTGGTCCATGATAATTCGATTTCGTAAAATTATCAAAATCATGCATGTCTGCATAAATAGTTCTTGTTTAGACATGAGTTTTGAAAGAATTGAAAATATGTATAGTATGTGCAAACAAGTTCCTGACGTCATAATGTCTTATGACGAACATCGACTATTCTTAAAAATTTTAGTAGAGGGTCTMAATGGGGTTARCCGTGAGCCGTGAAACGGMTGAAAAATTAGCCGTGAGTCGTGAAAATGAGAAAAACTTAGCCGTGAGGCGTGAATATGTTTTATAGCGTGAGACGTGATTCAGTATTGTTCCTCAGAAGGACAGTCAACTCCAGGMGCGCGCTTGTAATTTTTTTTAGTAATGATTTAAAAAATAAAAGCTTTAGTGCAGGAATTTTTCCCCAAAAGCTTCCACTCTCCCCCCTCCCCCAGAAATTCTAATGGATCGCACCTACCAACAAGGTCTCCCAGACAAGTCAGGGCATGGACAAAATTTGACATTTGAAATAAGATTCCTGATTACACGTGTGATGTTACAAATGTTTTCC